AGAACATTTTGAAAAAAAGTTTATTCTAAGTTAATTTTTTTGCCGAAATATTGTTTTTAAATAATTTTTTTTGTCGGAATGTCCTTAAAACAATTTCCTACATGTATTCTAATCTAAGTGACACTAAATATCATGAAAATTATCCATTTATGCGCTTTTTTAAAATCACGGTTCGAAACGTAGTCAGATACCTTAAAAAATGTACACAAATTCCAAGTTCAATTATTTTTTTAAAAAAAAGTATTGCTTTGATTCAAAAATACATATCAATTTTTGTTACATGTAGTATTAGCAATAGGTAAGAAAAAATTCAAAGCATTAGGCACAATAGAAAAAAAATCCTTAGCATTTAAAATGAAGACAAACTAATTATTTTACCTTTCTGAGATAAGTACGTTTAAAGTTTTGATTTGCCATAGGGATGAGAATAAAAACGAACGTAAAAGCCATCATAATTCTGTTTTTTTTTTAAAGTTTAAAGCTTTCAAATTTAATGAGGTTATAGAAAATTATATAAAGAATAATTTATGCTAAAAAAAATTAGATTTGATTTTTTGACCGATTTTTGTCAATTGAATCGTATTGTTTACCCTTTAACTTTTACCATTTTTTCTTTGTAACTAATTTAATTTAAAGTGGATAGCATTTTTGAATATTTTCATATTTAAAAAAGCATAATTAAAATGAAATAATTTATTATTTATTAATTTATTATTTATTAATTTATTATTTATTAATCAATTAAATATTAATTAGTTATTAACTTGTGTATGTATATTAATATTTTAATAATATAATTCTTATTTACCAAATATTTTTTAGCAGACGTTTTATTTTGTAATTTATTTCTTGGCTAATGTAAAATGTTTTCTAACAATAGAATTGAATTTCAGTTAGTTAAATGAGCTGCAAATAAAATGTTGGTTTGGAATGTATTTTGAATTAATATTTGCCTCATATTTACCACTAATTCAACCAAACTGACTTACACTCCCTGCCAATAAATCTGCATCACAAATAAGCATATATACCATAAATAATGCTTTTTCTTAATGTATTATATTGTGTTAAACCTGCTCCTCTATACTAATTAAATATTTCGCTCTGAACACTAAAAAGGGAGTTAAATCTTCCCTGTTGTAACACCTCATGATTTCTCTTATTCCGATTTTTAATTCATAATGCAGCCAGTCAAAGTCTTAAGAATTTAGTTATTTTATTGCATGTTCAGTCACACATGAAAATGTGTTATCAATTTTTGTGATCTGCATTACTTGGATAGGCAACAGTTCAGCAGCTGAAATGTCAGCAATTAAAACTCAAAAGATTATTCTTATAAAACTATACGGTCTATTAATGCCATAAGAGGTCTCAGGGGTATTAATTTTTGTCTCGAGGGCTGAAAATATAAACAATTTTCAGACAGATATATTTCTTTAAATTAAAATTAAATAATTCGAATTATTTAAACGTTATTTATAAAAGAATGAGGTTTCAAAAATTACAAAAATTTTTTTAATGTAATCATAATTTTTAAAATTATAAGCATATGAAAATAAGAAACATTTCAATAAAAAAATATTAATTAATTTTTAGAATGCGCATGTTATATTCTAAAATACTCATAGAAACTTTTGATGTATAAAACTGTATAGAAATATAAAATACATACATCATACTTTTATATATATATATAAACCCTATCTAATTTTATAGTATTATACATGTTTTGCAATTCAAAATATTTGAAAAATACTGAAATTTAAAAAATATATACATAATTTTTTTATTTTTTAAAAAATATAACTTATTATTAGCTTTATATATAAAAATAGCTATAGTGTAATAAGGATACATTTAATTTTATAAATCAATTTATTGCTAGCAATGAAAGTTACTATTTTAGAAAATGAAGCTCAGTGGCAGTGTATCATGCATCCCCACCATAATCAGGGGCTCAAATTCCGGGATGAGCAAGGTCAACTGAGCCTTTCATCCCTTCTGTGGGTTAATAAATGAGTACCAAGCTTGACTGACCACTTGACCGAAACACCTGCAAATGCACCCCATTGGCTAAGGTCACGTAAACTGAGATAGGCACAGTAAGCCTTGGCCCTCATGAGCTGTTGCGCCACTAAGTTCAGTTTATTTCAATACTTTAGAAAATAACATGCGCAACGTTAAACTTAATTAATATTTCTTAGAGAAATGTCTCTTAATCTCAAATGTTTATAATTTTTAAAATTATGATTATATTTTAAACATTACACTTTTTTGAAGCGTCATTCTTTTATACATAAAGTGTAAGATATTCGAATTGTGTGTGTTTAATTTTAATTTCAAAGAATTATATCTATTTGAAAATTGTTTATATTTTCAGCCCTAGAGATAAATTTAACACCCCTGAGACACCCTAAGAAGAAAGAAAGTCTTCTATGACCCAAAAATTAACTTTTAATATTTTTTCTTTGCATTTAATAAGTAGATTTCTGAGCTCTTACTTGTATCTCAACTTTTTGCTCTTCTATTTCTGCTTCGAGGGCTTTTCGGGCCCCATACTCGACCCCGCATTCGTACAGTTTCTCGTAAGTGGCCATCGTCATGCGAAACTCGTCTCGGACCCTCAAAAGTAGAGAGCCCCTTTCGACACAATGGATCGTCGATTGCCGAATCAGTTCATCTAGAAACAGAAGTTACACATTGTAAGATCTGTAAGGAGAATCGAAAACTCTTACAACAGAACCCGTAGGGGAACCTTATATTCCCCTACGGGTCATCCCAAATAATGGGTGCATGAGCAGCCCCACACAAGTATGGTGGTTATGACACTCGGATCGTAATCGAGAGGGTTTGGGTTCGAATCCCGAAAAAGACATGGATGTATATTCGGGAAAAGAAGTCGGACTTTTGCCTGAAAATGGATTTCAGTCTCGAATGGAAAGCAACGTAGCTCTTCCATTCTATGCTAGGATCATCGTTTGTCAATAGCGTACACAGGTATTTTTCAAGGGGGGGAGTTGGTGACGAAAGTTCACCATTCTTGTGTGAGTGTGTGTATCATGCTCCTTTTGATTTTTGTCGATGTTCGGGAACAAAACACAGTAAAAAACTAATTATTGAATAAAAAATTAGCATTAATTAAAATTAATCATTAATAACAAATAATTAAATTTTACGTACTATGTACTGATGGGAGGCCGCCGGTCCCCGAGATACAATTGCAGTTTTTATATTTGCCCTGTTTACAGGAAACGGGCTTCTAAGGAATTTGGGGGGTGCCTCAGGTCAACGGAGACTCTATGGCGGGCAAAGCTGTATCCTTGGGCAGCTTATTGGTCAATCAGAGTGGTGAAATTTACCGCCAGAATTTCGAGGCAGATGTTTTTCCGAGTGGTGCGGTCAACCTTTAAAAGGGTTGGCGCGCGAATTCTCGGGGCCTTTCCCTCTTACGTCTGCCAGAAAAACCACCCGTCTGGAAAGAGAACTCCCTGCCCGGGGTCAACCCTCGTCCACTCCTTTCCTCTCAGGTAAGTACCACCTTTGTAAATTTTAACGTTGTTTTCAGTATGTTAATTAATAAATATAATTGTTTACCACTATACGATTGGACCATTAATTTAGTGTAAAGTAATTTGTCTATAGAAGATTAGTGTTTAATTTTAACTAAAGTCATGATGCGATGTGAAATTAGGAAACTGGGTTCAAAGTTTTAGAAATTATATAAGTTTAAAATAGCGTCGCATCAGTACTTAGAATTATAATCAATCGGAAAAAAATCAAGGGCTTTGGGAGGGGGGGTCCGGACCCCCAGGACCCCCTCCTTCTGTGCGCCACTGTCGTTTGTAGTAGAGAAAAAGTCTTTATTCTTGTGCGTTGGTATCGTATATTTATATTCATTTTCCTCTCGTCTTTCGTATGTATTCCAGTATGAAACATGACGACAACAATGGGTGCATGGCACTTTATAAAATTATTATATTTAAATACTTGTTCGAATCATCTATAACTTTCAATCTATGTCGAAGTTTTATTTTCGCATTTAACTCAAAATTCAATTAAATTGTGTCGGTTGAGTGAGTGAATATTAACGTCGCACTGTTCAGCTACACGAGGGCTTTTGACGAACTACCACGTAATTTTGAACCATGGTCAAGTGACGTGGACGACACCTGAGCTAGCACCCCCGTCTCCTAACTACCACACCACACGACGGGAGAACGTTTGAGCTCTCGACAGATTTAACGTGCATCGTTCCCCTACATGGTGGGTCTTTAGTGGTACTGGCCTCGAACTCATAACATGCCCGCCATGATCCGATACCTTGACCACTGGGCTATCGCAGCCCTTTTAAATTGTGTCGGACACAATGAGGTATGTATTCGAAAATTGGAGAGTGAGTGAGAGGTTTATAAACGATGCACTATAAAACAACATGGGGGCTATTGGTGATAGACCTCGTAATTTTGAATATTGGTCACGTGACGTAGATGACACACAGGTTTGGCAACCCTTTTCTCTTAATTTCCACACCTCACCAACGGGAGGACAGAGCCTTGATAGATTTAAAGTGCATCGGTACCTCTACACGGGGCAGTTTCAGTGGCACCTGGGCTCGAAATGGGCACTTCGTGTCAAAAAAAGTGGGAGAACTAACTTTCTAATTATCATTGCTTTGACCATTACCGATAATGCACAGCAATAGTTAATTTTGGAAAATAACTTGCATGCAGCTGACATGTTTTTTCAATTCCTAATACTAGTTCACTCTCTCCCTATATATATATATATCTTGTTCAAATTTTCAATCGCTCATGAAATACATTCTATTCCTCCATTCAAGTTAAAATGCATTTTTAAAAACTTGTAGTATAGATGACACTTGATATTATAATCCAATTTTTTCAAATATTGATTCTTAATTAAATATAAAAAATGAATAAATAGTAACTAACAAAAATAACAGTCCAACAGAACATGCAGAAAGGAAAATCGTTCGTTGTGTACCTGGAGCACAATGGATAGTGTATTGGACTTCTAATCCAAATGTCGTGGGTTTGAATCCCACCTGGGATGGCCTAGTTTCTGAGAATGTGATTTTTCTTTTTCACAATGCTATTTTATTAGAATAATCAAATTTGATTAATAAATAAATAGTACAAACAAACAAACAAATAGTAAAACACTATATAGAAAGGAAAATGGAAAATTGCAGGGAAAATCACTTTCTATTTTGTCACTTTATATTGTGATTATGTCCAATGTATATACATATTTATATTATATAATTGTAACTATTTAATAAGAAGGAACTAAAATAAAATTTATTTGTTGACCTAAGTAGGCATTGACTTAAAAAAATTATTACTTGTTTGTATTAACTACAGTCTCACCGAAAGCATACTGAAGAAAAAGTAAAATTAAATACAAATAAAGAATAATGTAGAGCAAAATACATGTAATATTTACCAAAAAGTAGGTCATAGAGTTCTCTTCTGATGGGACAGAAACCGTTCATTTTGACCTGCCTCTCTTCCAAATACTCGTCGAATCGTTTGCTTAATTCAATCACATCGTTCCTCGAGGTTGCTTGGCGGGATAGTCGAAGGAGGTATTCTTTCCCGTTCTTTTTTATTTTCCTATTGAACAAATAAATCTGTTGACAAAACCATATGCGAAAAGAAATAAAGAGAAAAATTAAACGCATACACAAGCATCGCGAATGAGAGCGTTTCAAGCTTCATAAACTGAATTAGTAGTACGACTTCAACTTGGTTGATTGAAGATATCTATTATTAAACTTAAGAAGATTGCATAAATATACCTTTTTTAATAAATGTACATCATGGATTTCTAGTAACGTCTTGATCAAGACCTTTTTTAACCTCTCTGGCTTACTAGGCACTTCAAATTATTACGTTCCCTCCATTTCTAGAGCACCCCCTACTTCAGTTGTTACTTTGTCAGAGTTTTGTTGTTCGAGAGGGATATTCAATTCTCTTATTCTTTTCCCTCTCTTTGTTTTTGTTCTTTGGAGAGAATCTTTCCTTTATCTATGGATCCTTCGTGTTCTGGACTGGCAATCGACAGAAGTAAGGAAAGGATAGAGGCATGGCTTGGCCATTCTTATTCATTTGTTACCTGAATCTATTTTCTTAATGTTTCATTTTCAATTTTTTTTAGTATAAATATAATTATGTATAAAAGGATACTTTTTAAATGCATAATCAGTGATAACGAAATAACATGTCAATACATTAATCCTAAGTTTAAGTTTGGATGAACTGAAGTATATTTAACACTATACATTCAATAACTGGTAGAAATAGATATGCATTATGTGTTGGCATCTTCAGTGTAAAAAGATAAAATATTCCCATTAAAACAGAAGATAATGCATCGTATATTTTAGAGGAACAGATTGTAGGAAGTTTGTAATTAGGGAGAAATTCATAAAAAAGAAAATCCTTTGTCAATTTTATTTTGATGTAGTACAAGGTGATCAGAATTAAAACACCCCTACTCTGAGCTCTCTATACATCGAAATACTCAGTGTAGAGGCTCCAAAATTGTTGAACATACTATTCAGGACATGGGAAAACGGATTACGTGAAAAAATAGTTCCGGAAACACCGATAGATGGCGCTGTACACCAGATAATCTGAAAAAAGGAAAGAATTATCACAAAAAACAAAAACAAAACACATGCAATATGTAATTTTCCTTCTTTATTTCTATTGCTGATATGAAAAAAAAGAAAAAAAAGTGAAGGACCTTAAACTGTCATTGTAATTGAAATTTCGCCCTGTAAGCACAAAAAATTTGCATAAACACTTGGTTTGCAGATTGTTCTTGGCATAAAAAGGGATGAAACTGGGAAAATGTCATTCTTATCATTGATGGCTGTCACGCTGCCAAAACGCGCTTTGCTTGTGAAGCTGTTTTATGAAAGCAAAGGAAATGCTGCAGCTGCACTTCGGGAGTTTCGTCGACTTAAAAATTTACGCAAAGGACCATTACTTCCACAAGCTGATCGTTCGATTCGAGAAAACTGGACATCTTGGTGTTCAGCCGGGTCGAGGACGCAAATCGACCCGTTCAGATGTCGTTGAAGATGTTGCCACCGCTATTGTTGATCAATCAATGGATAACGTCATAGGCTGTAGTAGTGCCCGTGCAGTATCATGACACTTGGGTGTTCCCTACAGCACAGTGTGGAATGTACTGAGAATAGTGGTGCATTTTTTCCCGTACAAAATTCGTCACAATCAGCAGTTGATGGCCAATGACAGGGAGAAGCGACTGACCTTTGCATTGACATCTTGGCTAGAGTTGAAGTGGATGCATCATGACCATGGAAAATTCTATGGAGTGACGAAGCGCATTTCCATCTAAGTGGAACAGTCAATACCCATAACTGTCGCATTTGGGGACACGGAAAACCCTCGCACCTTCCAAGAGTCACCGACTTCATTCACCGAAACAGTCACAGTCTGCGTGGATTCCCAGCCACATTCATTCTTGGACCTTCATTTTTGAAGAGGCTACTTTCGCAATGGCCCACCAATGACCTGCACCGTGACGGCCAGAGTACAAAACATGCTTGAAAATTTTGTTGCACCCCCAAATGCTACAAACACCAATGTCTTGATTCAATTACCTTCATGCAAGATGGAGCGCCTCCACACATTGGACTCTGTGTGCAGCAGTTTCTTCGCGCGCGCGCGCACAACATTTTACTAATGATAGAGTGATTAGTCGGTACGTTTCGAAAGCATGGCCACCTCGTTCTCCAGATCTTAATCCCTGTGACTTTTGGCTGTGGGGATATTTAAAAATCTTGTTTATCGAGGACGTCTGATAACCTTGGCAGATTTGAAGGACAGTATCACTCTGCATGTGAGAAGCATCTCTGTCGACCAATTACGATCAGCAGTTGAACAAACTCTCCACAGATTTTACATCTTGGAAGAAGGGAACCATTTGAGCAGCAATCCCTGCATCGATAAGATATGAATGTTTGGTGCGATCGAATAAAATGTGTTACAAAATGTGTATTTTGTGTCTTTTTAGTATATTCTGATACACAGCCCATCTATCGGTGTTTCTGGACTAATTTTTTTTTCGCTAAATCCTTTTTTCATGTCTTGAATAGTATGTTCAATTTTTGGAGTCTCTACACTGAGTAGTTCGATGTATAGAGAGCTCAGAGTAGGGGTGTTTTAATTCTGATCACCTTGTATACGATGTAATCACTTCGAATGCAATGTAAAGATTTATTAATAAAACTTTGCTACATTGCCATTTATATGAGTATTTGTTTTTTTATTCAAAACTTTTTTCTATAAGTTGCATGATTTAAGTATTTTAATTGTTTTATCTCAATTCAGAAAGCTGATTGTATAGATTTAAGATCAGAAATTTTAAAATTCTTAGGATATTTCATTTAATCTGGATCCATACAATGTACAATTTCTCAAAAATACTATGAAAAGTTTTGTTGACAACCTACAAATATAATGCAGTCTCCTGTTTCTGCTTTCTAGTTCCTATGTCACATAGCTGGTTGTTTTTCTTGAAGATTTAATTTTAAACAGACAATCCAATTACTTGTTAGTTTACTATTAATTGCTTGTCGTGTTTAAAAATTTAAGTTTTTATGTCATAAACCTAATGAGATAAATAAAGTTCGTCGCTTATCGTTTTCAGAAATTCTGCATAATTTGACCTTTTTTAGCTATTTAATCTGATTTATAGGAGAGGATTTTCTTTAGTTTTTTTTACAGTATCATTTTATTTGTTTGGGTTGGTGATATTTGACACTTTTTTCTTGTAAATAAATTGAAAAAGCCATTTATAAGGTTTTTTCCAGATAATTTATTAGATATCAATAAGATAAAAATTGAGATATAATAACAAAAGATATTATGCACGTTAAATATTGGCAGTTAGAGCCTCGATTTGTTCTCCATTTGTCCTTTATAGTATAGTGTTACATTCATAGAGTCTGATTTATACAGCAGATTATGAGAACTGCTATATTTACTTATAGTGTATTCATGTAATGTTAAAAGTTAAGTGTCAATAACAATGTATTTTAAAATGAGTATGATTATTGAATAAAACTGTCCGATAAGAATTTTCTGCTTCATTATACGAGAAATTTTCATGAAAAATAATTTAATTTGTTCTAATATAAAAATAATTTTTAAAAGCCTATTTCTGTAAGCATGCTTCTTAATTTATTTTTAAAAAGTCATTCATTTATTTCTGAATGTTGAGAGGCATTTCTAAAAATCAAACCTTTTGAAGGGTAATAATTACAAAGGAAGTCAAACAACAAACAAATCAAATGTTTGTTTATAATTAGATTATTTCAATACCCCAAACCTTTAAATGTTAAAAAAACAATTTCCTTTCCATCACAGAAGGAAATTTCCTAATTATTAATAAAAGCTTTATTAACCAACTATTTTTTATACACTCTTCTCTAAAAGTATAAATCTCTTGTTAATCATTAGAAATAGGTATGAAAATTTTTAAATAAACAAAATATATCCATGTTTTATTGACAAATCTTATTATAAATACACTGGCCTCAAAAGTTTCCAACCGGGTTTTTGTGTCTAATTTGCAAATGAATGAATATAGAAAACAAAAAAATTTCATGTCATTTTTTATTGAATGCTGAAATTTGTATAAGTGTATTGCAAAAACGATTTTATAAATAAAAAAGCAATTCTATGAGAAATTATAGAGATAGTATTTCTAATCACACATTAAATATTTGTAGCTGGTAATTACTAAGGGAATCAGACAATGAAAGGTATAAACATTAACATTTCAAAATGGGACCATTTCATATCTACCTGTTTCTTGCAGGTCATAAATTACACTATTTTATGTTGATTGATGGTATCTAGTGCGCTGTTCCCTCCAGTTGGACACATATGAAAGTTTGTCCAAATTCAGTGGTCTCAACAACTGGTATATACTGTAATCATTCTCGTGCTTAAATAAACATAATAAACTACATGAAAACAAAGGACTTGTTATCAGGGATGCTAAAAACGAAT